TAGATCTCGGAAAATGCGAATTGATGATTGAATAATCGTCTTTCGACAGTACTGTGTCCCGGTTTAAATGTTCACACACGTGTTGAGCTTTTTCGAAACATACTCAGTGCTGTTACCGACATTCTTTCCCATCTTCACGATGTGTGCTGCTGAGGACTGTGTCAGTTTACTGGCCAAAGCACTTCACTGGATACGGAAAATTTTTTACGGCCTGCGAATCAGCTTGAAGTCGCAAGAAAGCAATCCATTTAACAAATCCCAGCGCCATATGCATGTAAAGGCAAATCAAGCCATCTTTTATGTTTCCAAGTTCAACCCTTTAACGTAATAGAACACCCGGCAGCAGTGAGCCACCACGGATTTCACATGTTATTGTCAAGTCAGTAGATAAGGTGTCTTCAAATTACCTTATGTGATTTACAGGTTGTACGAATTCACTGTCGATGCTTAGGGGACAGGTTTTTAAATATCGATCAGTGTCTGACTTTTGTATTTCGAATAACAGAAATTCACTCATGTGTTTTGCATGAGCACCAGCTCATTGAATAAGGGGGAAGTTTCACATTGTGATAATGCCATTCTCGTAGGCATACGAGTCTTTTGCGGGCCTCGGAACTTCTAATGCGACAATATCATCTGTGTTCTTAATGAGCCTTTGGAAGTGGTGGGAGCACTCATAGGCGAAAACGTTAAAGTGCCAATACACCGGGTTTATAGGATCCTGGACAGGGCGTGAAAAAATGTTCGTTAAATGAGAATTTTCACTAAACTGGAGAAGGTTAAATTATGATTCGACTGTAGTCGCCTAAACTTGTATACTCGTCGTGATCATTCGACAGATGACGTTGTCATGGCTGCAAGATTTTTCGTAGGCAGTAGGTTTTGCCGTTAACGTTAGCAACGTCTAAGAGGTTTGGTTTTGCACCGGTGACCGAAGTGCTAGTGTGCTGTAGTTGTGCCCACTAGACTTGGTTTCATCTTTTTCGTTTTCAGACCTTCATCGGAAGCCTATTCGATACCGCAGCGTGATTTCTGATTTGTTTGACGGCAAGCTGCTCAGTTCGGTGCAGTGTCTGACATGCAACTCGGTAAGCAGCAGTTCACTGTCTCGTTCTCGTGCATGCGATCGCATTGCGTCGTTTATATGCCCATGCTTCTTTAGGTATCGAACACGGAAGAAACCTTCCAAGACCTGTCACTTCCAATTCCCAGCCGAGACCAGCTGCAAATCCTTCGCAGCCATGCTGCGTGCTCGTCCGTACCCAAGTCATCTGAAAGCCGTGGTCTGCTTAGCTGGTTGTTCTCGTGGTTGCAAGAGTACGTATGTTGACAAGCGTTGCACTGCCCCCAAACTGAATATCGGGGCTTA